AGTTCAATCACCTTTAAGTGAGTGAGTCCAATCACCTTAGTGAGTTCAATCACCTTTAAGTGATTGAGTCCAATCACCTAGTGAGTTCAATCACCAAAATTAAACTAGAAGTTTATGTCCGTTACATCATCAAAGGAAATCATTTCCATCGTCATGACAACCGGTAAAATTCATTCGACGACCGGCGGCGTTTTTGGCAATTAGAAATTGATTCATAAAGGATAGTTTTCTGAAATTTGACGAAAAATTGAATCGTTCTTTACTAGATAATTTACGTCGGTTGTTGAAGCTGAATAACAATCAAGATATGTTTATAGGATTTGATTTGTGTGGGCGACTTGTAGATTATCATTACTCTGCTGTAAAATGAGTAATAGAAGTATCATTTATGGTGAAAATGAAAAAAATAAAGTATTCACGATAAATATGTACGAATGTATATGTGATCGTAAAAGATACATTAACTTCAAGGTTATAATTTAATTTCAGTGTTCTTTGCTTGGCAGGTCTCTGTGCCTTTGGTTGCACTTCTGCCGTACGTTCGAAAAAAAGAAATGGAATTCATAAGTGCATGTCTCTTGAATGGAATTTCGCTGCCGGAACAAATGAATATTGGTTAGTTTCCATAACTGAAAAAAGATTTCAAGTTATATTGGTCCTTACTCTTTCACTTGCCTATGGTTTGAAAGTTATATCTAATATTCAAGTTGCAATTAAAAAATTACAATAAAGCCTTTAACTAGAAACCATCTGAGTCGTTATTTTATATCAATCAACGACAATAGCGTTTCTAACTTTCACTTTCATTAAGTGCTTCATGCACATTACACTTCGAACAAAAAAATTTTCATCAATAAATGAGAATCTTATAACTTGCAGTTGTCACTTTCACGGGAAATTTTTTCTATCACCAATCAATCCATTGGAATTATGAAATAACACTAGTTTAGCGGAACACATATTCAAAGTTAACCTCTTACGTTAAACTTTGAGCGTATTCAATGTTTGTTTACACTGGTTGCCATAACAACCTCATCGTTTTCTATACTCGCATTCGTAAAGCACATTTTGAAGGTAAACTCTAATATTTTTCGTTCCCAAAACTCCTGATTACGCCGGACGTCGAAGTTGGATTGTGAATGCTAATGATAAATCAAAGAACATTTTTAAGGGAAAAATGTAAATTTTTTTATTTCACTAGTGGCATTAGTGTAGAATTTGAGATAATAGGTACAGAAACGAACGGAATTCCTTTAAAATTGTCACGTAATAAAGATAATGGGGGAATAAACACTAATATGTTAATAATGTTCCATTACTTTATTTAAAGAAACACATGTCTCAAATAAAATTTAAATTATTGGTTCTTAAATATCTCATAATGCATATTATAAAAAGTTCATATTTGGTAAACAATAATACACTTCACTCATCATCTTATCTTAAATTTAACCCATATATTACCCAACAGCATAAAAATCTCAAGTGAGATAACAAATTCGAAACAAATTTGATCGACTTGCTCCGTTGCGATTCAACGCTGCAAGTATCTATTCCTCAATGAAATATAAAAGGCCACGATTTCTGATTTGTAATCTATAAATCCTCATGTTATCGCAGCCGATTCGTAAATTTATATACAAGTCGTATGGAGCGATAGAATGATTTGCAATAATTGAAACTATTTTGGCGAACGGACATTCCAAAGCCTGGCATAAAATTTATTAAAAGTCAAGATTATCGTGAAGTAGCGATGAATATGNTATGTTTTAATTTATTAATACGATATCATACATATATGACGATGAAAAATACAACAAATGTAGGAGTATCTTAATATTATTGTCGCGTAGCGAGAAATTAGGAAGTGTGCGTATAGTAAAACCAAAAACTATCAGCGAACCAGAGCCAAGGGTAGTCGCCAAGATCTGTACTTCCACATCCAGCTGTCGTAAGTAAAAAAACACAAGGCCCACCAAGACGCGATCTAATAATCGTAAATTAGGCAGAAAACGTTATAATTCGCAGTATTTGAGATCAAGTTTATCCGGAGGATAGTTTTGACAAAAAAATGTTGCGAACTCAAACGACATAATTTTAAATTAAATTGTTACTACGTGAACTCAGAGGAACGAAGATGTTTCATAATGCAATCCACTTGAAACTCTGACATGCGACGCAATGCTTGGCTGAGGACTCCATCATGACTCTCTCTGCAGCCGAGACTTCGACTGTGGACCCCACGACGACGCTCGTGGCATTCACATTTTCTTGGAGCAAGAGACGTAGGAAATTCTTGCATGATCGACTATCGAATTTAGTTCTGCGTAAACCAAGACGCGCGTATCGACGCGAAATGCCGGCGATAAAATTGCAGAAATATTCAGAATTTTCCGAGGTAACACCAAAAAGGTCCAAGAGCAATAAGACACTGCTAGACACTTTCACACTCTCGATTTTCAAGGGACAGTTTTCAGGCACAACTAAATTCAAAGAGAGGAATTGCAGTTCACTGAGTGAAGGGAGCACTTTGTTCAGATGGGGAATGTCTGAGGGTTGAATCTGGAGAGCGAGTCGTTGGATCGACTTGGGCAAGATTTGAAAAACTGAAGGAGATATTCGCCCAGCAAAATTAATAAGATTGCAGTTGGAAGTTGGGTCGAGGATCTTCAGGATATATGAGTCAGACATCCCTCCCTCAAACTTCCAAAAATCGTGGTAGTTGAAAAATGATAGTGTCAACTTGGACAGACAACATGCCGATATTGCTTCATCGAAGTGTGGAAGACTGGCTGGGTCTTTTAGGGTCACCAACCCCAATAAATCCGGGGGATGATTTTGAATAAGTTTGACTACTAGGGCAGAGATGCCACTGTCTTCTATTTGCCATTTACGGTCCAAATATTTTAAAACTGCTTGGGTGAACTCGTCATGGCCTTGAGCTTCTTCTAATAACTGGAACCATTCGCTAGATTTGCGAACCTGACAAAAATCTCGAAGAAGATCCAAAATTTGATCGCACATGATACCAAGCTTGTCAGGATCACTAGCCGCAAGTAATCCTACTAAAAACCTTACTATGTTAGTTACCCGGCGCATGTTATCTTTGGTGGGGGACAAATTGGAGATGGATAGCAGTTCCTGGAGCTGTAGGCCTCCAGTGCCGTCTGGCATCAGAATGAGACTATTGAGGTGGTACGCGCTGCAGAACTCTTGAAACGACAGGCTCGGAAAACTTACTTCTATCGACGCATGAAGAGTTTTCTCATTGAAATTTTCTTTGAAACATAAAAATTCCGCCAATAGGACGTTGGGAGGAAGTCCGAGCTCCTGACATTTGACGAGGAGCTGACTGGTGCTCTTGAATCCCAGGCCTGAGGAACCTTCACCTGTAGAAGCCAGTGCAATCCTACCCAGCTCGAGCAAGAACGTCTGTAGTTTAGCCTGAAGATTGTGCAGTTCTAAGACTCCAACTAATGATCTGGACGACAGTCGCTTACGTAATTTGTTCAGAATTAAATTAAAGGATTGCAGCAGGATGTGTGTGAGCGCGGAGCAGCGGTAAGTCTCCCCAGGAGCCAGACACCAGCTGAAGAAAACATGTGAAAGGATCTCTGGATTCGTGAGCCAGCTTTCCAACAAGTATTCGTGCGACAACACTGAGCTGGAAAAGTTCTCGATCGACGCACTGCACGTGCCATCTGGAAGAGCATCGTACAGCCTCGCAACGTACTCAGGTATGAATGATTTTGAAAGTCCTTCCAGAACTAAGTTCAGAGGTCGGCGATGTTGGGCTTTCAAAGAGATCTGATTTCCGAGATCCTGAGTGGCAGTTGCGATTATCTTTGAGTCAGACGTTGAACTGATTAACTCACTTACGATGGGAAAAGACTTGTTGTGAATCTCATCTAGATTATCGAGGATAAAAATGCATTTGAGGCTCAAAATAAGTTCTGTGAGTTCTTTTCCAGAGAAGAGGTTCGAGGTGTTGGGTATCGCTTTAGCCAAATATTCCTCAAAAGTGGTCAAGCACGTTTCTCTACAATCTAAATAAAAGACGAGATCAAATTGTTCGATTCCTTTCACAGACGAAGTTGAAGACTGAGTCCAAGAGTGGACAAGATATTTAAGAACTGTTGTTTTGCCTACGCCAGTGGACCCTGTAATCAGGATGAATTTGGGATCTGAACAGTCCAAGTGGGTCGCTAGGAGTAATTCAGATACGTCGATCTCAGACTCTGATGCACTAAGCCGGTTCTGCAGGCAGTTATATGAAGTGTGTTTCAGTTTAGTGGGCACGAAAACCTCGTTCAACCTTTTCCTGAGAGGCGCAAAAGGCCAAGGGGTGATGGACAATTCTGAAAAGGCTGAAAATCCTTTCAGAAGATCATTGCCTGCTTCTTGCAACACTATCCTCCTCCTTTCCTCTGCGATTTGTTTTAACTGCTCTTCAATTGTTGCGGCTGGCAGAGGGGAATCCATTATTTCTTTGAGCTCGCTTGAAATTTCATTCTTAAGGTTATAAGTTTCATGAACATCTACGTTGAACTGAGTTTCTGCCTCATCAATAACAGCCTCGAAGAGACTTTTCATTTCGTTGATGGAGTTTATCATCTCGACTTCACCGATGCAGAGTAGCGGATGAGCAAACTTGTTCCTCATGTTCTTGACTTCAAGAACAAGCTCGGACATTTTACTCCTAGGAGCATCTTTAGGTGGCACGACAGGTTGTTTCAAACCTAACCTCTGAATGAGGGTATTGAGTAGAGTGATGTCGAAGTCATCTAGCGATCCACATTCAATCTTCCTTCGTTCATCTTTGTTGAAATCATTTTTGTATTTGGAATTGCTATATCCAGGAATTTCTTCGAGGCCTTGTCGAATGGATATTGCTGGATAGCTTGGATATGCCCACCTGAAGACGGTTGCCAGGAGCCGTTTGCCCACCCTGACCAGCGCCACCCAGCACTTGAGGTAGCAGTAGTCGGCGCTGCTCAGGCCGGACGCCGGTGAGGGGGTAACGGGTCCAAGAGCTGCCATTGCTCCAGAATTTCAAACTGAAAATAAATTATTTCTATTTAAAGACTGAATATTAATTAGACAATTTTATTTTTTAAAATCACGACTGTAACGATTGAATATGAAGAAGACAATTTCACTTTCAAAAATCACAATTGTGAGAAGCTTAGATATCGTCTTCTAGGTATGTTGGGCATCACTCGAGTTTCGGACCTTTGGGGAAACTATTGTAATTGTCATTAGGGTTTCACTTGAGTTCATTACTTAGGGAATCACTTGAGTATCAGTCTCAATTGTGTATCGGTATCAATTGAGCAATTTAGTATTAGTCCATAAGATACCAGTACTCTTTGTATCTATAACTTTAGCATCAGTGATCTGGTTCGATTCCATGAACAAATATTTCGAAAAAAAATTCCGAAAAATAATTGAGTTTTGCAAGCTTACCAAGATAAAAATTGTCCAATAAAATCGGTTGAATTTGGCGGTTGTGCTACAAAGGAAAAGAGGGAGAAATTTCTTGAAATCAACTAGCACCAAGAAAGTTGGTATTTAAAAGTCATTTGCTAAACTTTGGAGGCTCGATGCATCGTTAATTTACGAGATGTAATATATTTGAAGATGATGAAGATGATATATATCTATATTACTGTAGGAGAAAAATAAGAAAAATTAATGAAATTAAATTAGTTGCTCTTCAATTCAAATGATTTGTTTATCTCTTAGGCACAAAAGAAACTATACAGTGAAAAAAATCTTGAACTTGAGCTACGGCACACTGATGAAGTATTCACTTGCAATAATTAATTCAGACGAGCTTGAAAAAATCCATTTTCTTGAAGATAAAGTTCTTTCTTACAAAAATAGAAAAAATTACTTTTTGGGTATTAATTATCAAGAAGTTTGCTAAGGACTTATTATGAAATTGAGCGAAGTTCCCAGCCATGAGTCTTAAAAAATGCGTCGTCGATTCAATGAAGTTAATGAAGAAAATGTTCTACTAACAAAAGTTCGTGACAGGTTTATGGTTAGAATGCTATGGATAAAATGTTATGGAAAGAATGTTATGGATTCCATGTTATGGTTATAATCTTATGGATACAATGCTACGGATACAATGTTATGATACAATGTTATGGATACAATGTTATGGATACATTGCTATGATACAATGTTATGGATACAATGTTATGATACAATGTTATGATACAATGTTATGATACAATGTTATGATACAATGTTATGATACAATGTTATGAATACAATGTTATGATACAATGTTATGATACAATGTTATGGGTCCGTCAGATTAAGACTGGGGGGAGGGCTGTTAATCTGTGGCTTTTATGAAAAATTTCATCATGGGTCTGCAAACGATTCAGTTTTCTGTCTTATACGTTAAATTTGCTGCGTGTGCCACATACACACGCTGTATGTGTGGCACACATTCAACGTATGCCACATTCACACGCTGTATTTGTGGCACACATACAGCGTGTGCCACAAGCTTCACTGGTTGACGAAAGAACTAAAACAAGCGTTCCAACACTGGCACTGCAAAGGATAGGACTGATTTACTATAGCTCACTCAGTGTATTCACAATGAAAATCACGGTAACCTTAGATTAAGGTCCAATCAAAATTAAATTGAAGAAATATATAGCTATGATAAATCAATTGCGTGTGTGTAATGATGCGAAAACTTCGTGTGCGCGAAACGACGTATCACACCCTACCTCCAACAAGGCCGCAGCCACACTGACAGTCTGACGCACAAGTGTTCTCAACCGCGCAGGGGTGAGTCAGCGGGGCCAGCGTTGACGCACGGTGACGCAGAGTGACGTAAGGAGACGTATAAATATAAATGCGGCTCAAGTCATCACAACGAGGCTATTAAGCCAATGTGGCGCGGCTTATGCCATCGTGGCGCGGTTTAAGCCACAGTGGCGCAGCTAAAACAACCGTGGCGCCGCTTAAGCCACCGTGGTGCGGTTTAAGCTACCGTGGCGCTGCTTAAGCCACCGTGGCGAGGAATATGCTACTGTGGCGCAGCATAAGCCACCGTGGCACGGCTTAAGCCGCCGTGGGGCGTCATATGCCACTGTGGTGCAGCTCAAGCCACTGGTTATTCTTGCCATGCCATCCAGCTGATGAGATGGCCTGTGGCTAATTTTACGATAATGACAGACCTGTGATTTATGAGGCAGCATGTGGCATGCGACCAGCATGTTGGGCGGACCAGCATGGCCATGAGCGCATGATGGGCGGACCAGCATGGCCATGAGCGCATGATGGGCGGACCAGCATGGCCATGAGCGCATGATGGGCGGACCAGCATGGCCATGAGCGCATGATGGGCGGACCAGCATGGCCATGAGCGCATGATGGGCGGACCANCCATGAGCGCATGTTGGGCTGACCAGCATGGCCATGAGCGCATGTTGGGCTGACCAGCATGGCCATGAGCGCATGTTGGGCTGACCAGCATGGCCATGAGCGCATGTTGGGCTGACCAGCATGGCCATGAGCGCATGTTGGGCTGACCAGCATGGCCATGAGCGCATGTTGGGCTGACCAGCATGGCCATGAGCGCATGTTGGGCTGACCAGCATGGCCATGAGCGCATGTTGGGCTGGCGAATTTTTACTGATTCTGTAGACCAGCAACTGTTGAATTCCACAAGATTATAACTAACTTATTATAAAATAAAAATAGTTAATAACAATTACATAATATTAAAATATCTTCTATTTACATGTTTACGCTTAACATTCATATAATTATGATATATATCCCTCGCGGTACCGAAAAATATATATAAATATATAAATATCGAAGAGCGAAAAATATTTTGTTACAGCTTCAGTGGTGCAAATTTACCATTTCAGCTTCAATATTTTAATTTAATTTAATTATGTAGAAATAACGTGATGTCAGTGTACCCTACAGTGTACAATAAAATGCCTCAGTGTACACTACAGTGTACGATGAAATACCTCACTGTACACTACAGTGTACAACAGTGTACCCTACAGTGTACAATAAAATGCCTCAGTGTACACTACAGTGTACGATGAAATACCTCACTGTACACTACAGTGTACAATAAAATACCTCAGTGTACACTACAGTGTACAATAAAACACCATAAATCCAGCGGTCGTAGCATATTATCCCCCAAGGAGCGCTTGCTATGTAATCTCGGGGATTACATGAACGCTTCGTGGATTTATCAAGATTATTTTCGATTAGTGGATTGTTTACAAATCAATATATGCATACGAAATAGTGATTGTTTATTAATAAATTTTACAATGTGTGACCATATCCATTAATAATTTATCTATATAAGCAGTTAATTTAAAAGTCCTGCGACATTTGCACTATTATGCATATAAATAAAAGCGTTCATCACAAATAATCGAACGGAAAAAGTATGAACGGGGCATAAGCTGAACCAATATACCCGTATATGTAGGTTGAATTTTCGATTCAGAATTTATTGAATTAACTTCGAATAAAATATTGAAAATAATTTGTATTGTCGATATCTTGAAAGCTCGAAATATTTTAATTATTTATCAAATTTACATTTATTTATTATTTTTCCTTTAGGACAAGGGAACTTTTCGTCAAGTTTATGGCGGTAAAAAGACTGAAAACACAAGTTCTGTCGCATGGCAAGAGTGGTCCGAACTTGAGAGGTTCTATATTATTATGTTAGATTATAGTGTATTATATTATGCTATTTTAGATTATATTATAATATATTATGCTATTTTAGATTATATTATAATATATTATGCTATTTTAGATTATATTATAATATATTATGCTATTTTAGATTATATTATAATATGCTATATTATATTATAATATATTATGCTATATTATATTATAATATATTATGCTATATTATATTATAATATATTATGCTATATTATATTATAATATATTATGCTATATTATATTATAATATATTATGCTATATTATATTATAATATATTATGCTATATTATATTATAATATATTATGCTATATTATATTATAATATATTATGCTATATTATATTATAATATATTATGCTATATTATATTATAATATATTATGCTATATTATATTATAATATATTATGCTATATTATATTATAATATATTATGCTATATTATATTATAATATATTATGCTATATTATATTATAATATATTATGCTATATTATATTATAATATATTATGCTATATTATATTATAATATATTATGCTATATTATATTATAATATATTATGCTATATTATATTATAATATATTATGCTATATTATATTATAATATATTATGCTATATTATATTATAATATATTATGCTATATTATATTATAATATATTATGCTATATTATATTATAATATATTATGCTATATTATATTATAATATATTATGCTATATTATATTATAATATATTATGCTATATTATATTATAATATATTATGCTATATTATATTATAATATATTATGCTATATTATATTATAATATATTATGCTATATTATATTATAATATATTATGCTATATTATATTATAATATATTATGCTATATNCACATCATAACATTAATGATGTTAACATATCATAACATTAATGATGTTAACATATCACAACATTAATGATGTTAACATATCATAACATTAATGATGTTAACATATCATAACATTAATGATGCTAACATATCATAACATTAATGATGTTAACATTTCATAACATTAATGATGTCAACGTATCATAACATTTATGATGTTAACGATCACCACGAGACAGACAACAATGTCATCTGTCTGATCGTTAGAGGGATCATTCGAATTATATTTAATTATTGATATCTTATTGCTATCCAATAATTTCACTACCCTGTTCCGAAACCTAATTACCAGTTGCGTCAACTTTCAGCCAATTATTAATATTGCTGATTTATTAATAGACTTCAAAATTAAATTGCGAGATGAAGCAATTATGCGACATCGGTCGGCCTGGTATTATTAATTAATTATACCCTGAAATGTGACCAATTTCGAACATGGTTTTTAAATTAGATCAAGCGTAATGCTTGATAGATTCATAACTTGAATAAATAGGACAAATTTTACATAATTCTGAATGATTTCAATAAATTTTCATGGATGACATCAAGTTCTTTTCAAAGGATATATTAAAAAATTTGTGTAGCGTGTGCAGAGTCAATGTATTTGAAATTGTTGAATTGTTTAGGTTTTTCATCATATATCACGCGTTTTTACAGGAAAATAATAATGATTTGGAATTTAAGCCACCAAAGTTCCTTATTATGTGAAATAAAATATTTTAATTTCATTTGTCAACGTGCTTTATTTCTTAAAACAAAAAAAAAAAACGAATAATGATATAAATACATTAATTTAATTCCATTGTCACACCGCTTTTTTTCATTACAAAAATTTGTATCCGGCATACCATGCCGGTGCTCTGCCAAGTCCCTCACAAATATAATTAATAAATACTTAACTTTAACTGCAATTTAATATTGGGTCATTAAATGAACATTATGAACATCCATGTTATGACGAACTTGGTGTTTGGCATACCATGTCGGT